CCCCTTGCAAACCACAAATTAAACCGTCGATTCGCGCTTACGGAGCCCCCCACAAAACAATGGCCGGCCCTGTGAGTGATGCTGCTACGATTCGCTCGGCCCCGATTTCTTCGATGCCCCTCGAATCACCCGTTCCATCGAGCCTCGATCAAGTGACTGACTTGTTACCGCTAAACAGCCTCCCAACCCGCTTTACCCTACCCAGTTCCGAAGCAAGTTCGGTCCCAAGTACGTCCAGATCCGCGACAGACCTTGATTGCCATTGCTCAATGCTTCCCGTCCACGGCGCACGGCCACATCGCTCCTAGGAAGGGATAGCAGCAGGTGATGCGCAGAACCAGCGAGACGTGGGCTGACCCTAGAATCAGGTACCACTACAAACCCAGCGTTGCCGGCCTGAACTTCACCCAGCTCTCCCGAATGTGAGTTCCGACTTTTCCTTCGAATTGCAACGCTCGAATCGCTGTCTACCTGGATGCGGGCTGCTTGCTTGCGAACCAGTGGGCAGACCGACGACACTCGTCGACAAGCAGCAACATTCGAGCCTAGCTTTTCGATGACTCGACGATACGGAATGATGCTGACATGTATGCAGTGGTGTCAAGCTCGGTGCTTTCGGCGGCGTCGCCCTATTCGGCGTCATCTTCATTGCCTCCAACGTCCCCAGGCTACGTAGGGACGTTCTCCAGGTGAGTCGTGCTCCCATTCATCCATCTTGCATTTACGATGTCTAACATGCTCGTAGAACGTTCCCGTCATTGGTGGTCTCTTCGTCAAGGAGCCCCTCCCCGCCTCCGACAACGTACGTGTTATTTATCCACATCTGCGGATCCTCATTGCTAACCATGGGAAGCCTTTCTAAATGTACCACCCACCGACAACTTGGCGATGGACGGGATTCGGAGAGCGAGATGCCAAGAGGGAATGCCTCGGTCAAGGCAGTTGTACAACTCTCTGGTTGAATAGATTCTAGACCATTATGCGTTCCGCCTGCTGTGATGTTGTGAAGGGTGTGCCTCGATCCTGTGTCTTGCCTGTCCTCACGCCTGGAAGCGACATATAGCTGCAGACCGTTTTCAGTATTCTATTCTTTTTTTTTTATGTGTGTATGTATATGTGTGTGTGTGTGTGTGTATGTGTGTGTGTGTGCGCGAGAAGACTTGCATCACACAGCAACTTGTAGAATGTTCAGGCACGTCTCTCATCGAGCCCAAGCCCAGTTGATACAAATACAGTGCCGATTTGTCCACAATGGTGCTCACGGAGGATGCTCGCACGGTGACCAAATGAGCATCGCTGGCACCTCGCTCAAGCAAGCGCAAAGCTCAAGGTCAGCGTCACCAACAGCTGCATCAAGCCGGCGCACCCTCTTTCCTTGCGTTATTTCCCATGAGCCACCTCTTGTCCTTCCTTCCTCAGCTCGCTTTGTTGCTTTAACGGTCTTTATCGTGCCCCGCTTGGAAACCACCACATCTAACCTGCTAACCGCGTATGCCCATACTTGCGTATACCTTCACATACGTATCCTTCGTCGCATCTCTGTTACATGCGTACCAAGTATTGGAACTACCTACTTAAAAGCTTCTGCTGCATTGGGTCCGAATTCTCTCTTCTCTCCCACACCACACGCGCACCGGGACCAACCAAGCGCCTGCGTGTCCATCAGCCACCTCCGCCATGACTGTCACCGAGATCCTCGGCTCGACGTCTTTGGTGGCGGCCACCATCCTGTGGCTCCTGTTTGGCAGGAAGTATAACACGATTCAGTCATCGGCTACGAGCGTTATGGCTGCCGGGCTTATGGTCTATGGATGTGCCTCGATCTGGCTCAACCTCGTCAACTCCTTCGTCCCGGACCCTTACCTGGTGAGGACAAACGTAAGGCCCCCGGGAAAGAGGCCAGAGACTAACATGAATCAGGACGAATTCTTTCATATCCCGCAGGCGCAGGTCTACTGCAAGAACAAATTCACCGATTGGGACGACAAGATAACAACTCCTCCCGGCCTGTAAGTTCTGTTCGTCTGATAATCATTAGGGCTGCCCCTGACCATCCTAGATACCTCTTGTCGAGGTTCCTCATCTCCTTGGGCGCCCTCATCACCCGAACCACTGTGGACGAGGCCTGCAAAGCAGGAGACTTGCGCCTCCACAACGCCTTTGCATTGTTCGGCGTCGTCGTCTGCGCCGCCTACTGCCGGCATCACATAGAAGCCCAACACCGGGCCATCAGCGGCCGGCAACCCCTCAAGTCGGTATCGACTTATTCTCTCATGACCGGTGTCAACATTGCGTTATTTCCTGTCCTCTTCTTCTTCTCGGGCCTCTATTACACCGACGTGGTGTCGACGCTCGTCGTCCTCGTCGCGTACGTTAACCATATGAACCGCGTTGGCCGACCCGCCAACGGAGTGCTCAATGATATATATACTATCACTCTGGGAGTCTCAGCTTTGAGCCTTAGGCAAACCAACATCTTCTGGGTGGTCGTGTATATGGGTGGTCTCGAGGCTGTGCACGCCATCCGACTGCTCAAACCAAAGGTCGAAGTCCAACGGTGCATGTACAAGCTCACCGAATACCTTGAACATTTTACCCGGCGATCCTCTCTTGGCGACATTCACGATCTCCCGCTGAACCTTGCGTGGCCGCATAGTGAGTCTCATTGCCCTCTCTCGAACCTGCCGTCTGCTGACCATCAGACCTGTGCTTCTCTGCACTGAGCATCGGCGTTGCGGTCGTATGCAACCCCATGCAAGTCTTGCAATGGGTGTGGCCTCATGTATCCATCATGGCCTGTTTCCTATCCTTCATTGCGTGGAACGGCAGCGTCGTTCTTGGTGAGTCGTGCTGTCTTGGTGATATGATTCCTTCCAATGTTATCGCTAACCTTGTGTCAGGCGATAAATCCAATCACGTTGCGACGATACATCTCCCGCAGATGCTCTATATCTGGCCCTTCTTTGCCTTCTTCTCTGTCCCCCTCTTTCTCCCTTCGGCTCTCGGCGCTCTGCGAGTTATTCGCAAGATCTTCCAGTCCCGATCCAACAAGGCCTCGGCCCCAAAAGAGGCGCAACGCACAGAGTGCGCAAATGGTACATGGGAGATGATGCGGCTTCAACCAGTCACCAGCTCACCAATTGAAGGTGTTAACCGCCGCGTCGATAGACGGGGTGACTGTGCCCACGTACAACTCATGCGGGACC